GTTTTGCTTTTTGGAATTCGTGAATATCTTGAGGGAGATATTTTGAGACTATACTTCTATCCTGTTTCTGTACAAACTTGTGTACCCAATGATTTTTGCATCTATTGGTGGATCTTGCCTGCAATAGTTATTACTATGGTATTTACCAGATGGTGATTTTATACTTCCCTCATCTAATTTATTAATTGAAATTCTTATGTGTGGAAGAGCTGTCCCTTGTTCCTCATTGTTTATTTATTCAATTATTAATTAGAATGAACTCATGGATGTTTATTCTATAGGTTGTGCTTCAATACTATTATTATTTATTGTGTTGCTCAAATTGTTCCATCTTTGGTCACTGGAAGCTTCTTTATGTTGGCTCCTGTGCCACTTTGTTTTTTTAAGAGACAATGTCTTTTTTCTTTTTTTCTCTTTAAAATAATATTTTATTTGTTGGAAAGAAAAACTTTTTTTTTCTTTTTTATTTCAGCGTATTATGGGGGTACAAATGTTAAAGTTACTTATATTGCTCTATATCCCAGGCTGGAGTGCTGTGGCATCATCATAGCTCACTGAAACTTCCAACTTCTGAGCTCAAGGGATCTTCCTGCCTCAGTCTCCCAAGTAGCTGAGATTATAGGTGTGCATGACCATGCCCAGCTAATTTTTTAATTTTTTCGTAGATATGGGGTCTCCCTATGTTGCCCATCCTGTGCCACTCTGATATACCTGTGACATTTTTTTGAGCACTTCCTTATTTTCTGACCTTACAAGATATTCCAGACTCATCTTGTATTTTTTGTATTTTAGCCCTGAAATGAACCACTTCTCGAAAGAGCCCTCTTTTGAGGGCTCCAAAGGCCCTTTTTTAGAGAATGGTATTTATAAACCCAGAGTTGGGCACTAGGTTTCTGTAATAAGAAAAGTGATTCCAGGGTGTTCTTGCTTCTAGGTCCTCTCAGCAGATGAAGCCAGGAAATACACATCTGGAGCCTAACTCACACAGGCACATACACATCTGTAATTCTGTATTTATCTATCTACCTCTGTATGTATATTGACAACTGTGAGTTCATACTGATTCCAGTCCAACTCTATAGGTTCATTTTTATTAACCTTTTTCCTTTTTGATAAATTCTTTCTTTAAAACAGAAACCTGGCTCTTATTAGTTACAATAAATTCACTTACTTATTCAATTTTGGTATACATATAAAACAGTTACAGAATTGGTAGCTGATACTCCTGTGAGAAAGACATTTACCAATTAGAATACAGTATTTGTGAGAGCGCCGAATCCTAACCACTAGACCACCAGGGAGCGACAAGTGTTTGTGTACAGTCATTTTGTCTTTAGCCTTTGAGTATCCAGTCAAAACAGTGTTTTCTAAAGTTAGGTTAGTTATTTTCTTCCTTATCTGCTTTAGTCTGGTTCTGTTATTCATTTGTAATACAATTATGCTTATTTGTTACTGCTTATCTTCTATTTTGAATTCTGTACACATACTGATTGGTTTTGATTGTTTATTGTGGGAATGTGAAATATTACTTATTCTGAGAGTGAAAGCTATGTAAAGAGGCATTCTACTTGGTTTAACAAGTCTAAAAGAGAACTGATTTTCTTCCCCAAACCTGCTTTTCACCTAACCTTCTCCATCTCAGTAAGTGGTACTGCCCCAAGTCAATATCCAGTCCATTAGTAAGTCAGGGTGATTCTATTCCAAAATATATTCAATATAGGACTGCTGCTTGCCATTTCAGCTCTGCTCTACTACAGCTCTACTCAAAGCTGTGATCATTTCTGGCCTGGACTGCTACAATAGCCTCCTAACTGGTCTTCTTTTGTCCCTCCTTGCCCATCCGACAGTTCTTTTTCCACATAACAGCCTGAATGATCTTTTAAGAGTGTAAATCAGGCTGCCCTCATGGGCTGGGTTTGTGAAGAAGGGCCTAGGTCTGAGCTTGTGGCGGGGCTTGTTGAGCACTGGGGCTTGCATCCTGCCATCTCCTCTGCCCTGGCTTCACTCACTTCTTGTCTCCAGCTGGCTGGGTATGGGGAAAACCTGCCAGAGCCATGGAGGATGAGGTGGTCCACACTGCTAAGAAGATGGACAAGATGGTACAGAAGAATGCGGCTGGAGCATTAGATTTGCTTATGGAGTTCAAAAATATTCCCAGGACCTTGGAATTGTTACAACCCACAAGAATCAGAATGTCAGTTATGCTAATGGCAAGCAGAGTACAGATGAAGTAGTTATGTCTTTAGTAAAGTCTCTTATCAAATTCTGGAAAAAGTTACTATCAACTGAGAAAGACCTTGAAGAAAAGAAAAAAGAACCTGCGATTACTTTGCAGAATAGCCTTGAAACAGGAGGAGAAAGTAGCTCCATTGGCAATGTAAACAACAGAAGGGCTGAGACAAATGCTTAAAATACTATGTTTCACCCTTTCATTCTGATTGTTGTGTTAAAGTGTTGGGAGATACTTGCCGCAGCTCTCCAAACGATGTCTACTATTGGAGCTGATGAATTAGGATCTCAAATTGAGGAAGCTATATATCAAGAAACAAGGAATACAGACATGAAATAAAAAAATAGAGTACGAAGTAGGATATCAAATCTTAAAGAAGCAGAGATTCCAAATTTAAGGAAAAATGTATTGTGTGGAATTATTCCTCCTGACTTACTTGCTAGAATGGTGGCAGAGGAAGTGGCTAGTGATGAGCTCAAAGAGATATGGAAAAACTTGACCAAAGAAGCCATGAGAGAGGACCAGATGGCCAAGATGAGTGGAACCCAGACTGACTTGTTCACATGTGGCAAATGTAAAAAGAATTGTACTTACAAGTTTAAACCCATAGTGCTGATGAACCCATACCATTTGTTGTCTCTAATGAATGGGGAAATCAATGGAAGTTCTGTAGAGTTTGAAGAGTTGGCAGAATGTCTGGACTATTAAGAAAATGGATTTTGTAATTAGCTTTAAAACTAAGCCAACCAACGAGTTTTCCTACAAATCAGATTTTTTTTTTTTAATTATAGACAGGGTCTCATTATGTTGCCTAGTGAAGTATAGTGGCTATTCACTGTGGCATGATCATAGCATGCTATAGCCTCAAACTCCTGGCTCAAGCAGTCCTCCTGTCTCATCCTCCTGAATAGCTGGGACTACATATGGAGGTTGATAGAAAATATTTTTGTCTTTGAGTCTTACTTGTCGATATTGTTTTCCTGTTACATGATGAATGAAATTGTTGAACAAACTAAATATATGGGCTATAGCAAATAGTTTACAGTCCTCATCTTACAATTAAGTTCTACTTTTTGTTTAGGTGTGTACCATTTTTTTCTGTTGGGATAAGAAGGAAATGGTTTTCATGTAGGTTCCTTAGGGTACACTTGTTCTAGCACATATTAAGACCTCCATTGCAAAGTCTACATTTTGTCATGTTGAATTTGCATTTTATCAGATATCTATAGAAAGGCCTTAGGACATTTTTTACTCTCCTTTGCTCCCCTTTTCCAACTTCTTTTTTAAAATATATTTAAAAATTGTTATTTTTAATATAGACAAGGTTGCGCTTTGTTGCCCAGGCTGGTCTTGAACTCCTGGGCTCAAGTGGTCCTCCCGCTTCAGTCTCCCAAAGTGCTGGGATTACAAGCATGAGCTACCACAGTAGGTCCCAATTTTTTTTCCCCAAGCTTCTACACAGCAGTACCCAATTTTTTATTGCAAATCATTTTGATTTAATACAGAAAACAGCATTTCCTTTTCTTTCTTCTTTTTTTTTTTTTTTTTAGACAAGTCTCACTTTGTTGCCCAGGCTAGAGTGAGTGCTGTGGCATCAGCCTAGCTCATAGCAACCTCAAACTCCTGGCTCAAGCAATCCTCCTGCCTCAGCTCCCGAGAAGCTAGACACAGGCATGTGCCACCATGCCCGGCTAATTTTTCTATATATATTAGTTGGCAATTAATTTCTTTCTATTTATAGTAGAGACGGAGTCTCACTCTTGCTCAGGTTGGTTTCGAACTCCTGAGCTCAACCGATCCGCCCACCTCTGCCTTCCAGAGAGCTAGGATTACAGGTGTGAGCCACCGCACCCGGCCAGAAAACAGCATTCAAATGTCCATATTAAGGCTTGGTCCACTGGTACCAAGCCACCTCTACTTTGTCAGTTCTTAGTTTAACCTTTTGTTTTATCATTGCAAAAATAAAGTGCATTTTGGAAAGAATGAATTTAAGAATAATAAAATAGTTCTATTTTTAAATTAAGCTATCCATTTAAAAATTATAATTTGATAAAGTTTTTTGTTATAAAAAAGTATAAATCAGATAATAGCACTGTCCTGCTTAAAATCCTTTAGTGGTTCCCCAGTGTAAACAGAATAAAATGCAATCCCTTGCCAGTCTTTAAAACTCCTTATGATCTGGTTCCTGCCTAATCACTGCTCCTTGGCTCCAACAATTCAGGCTGTATTACGTTTCTGTTTCTTGGTTGTACCAAGGTATGTCTCATCTCAGGGCCCTTGCTCTTGGCCCCTCCACTCCCTGAGACAGTCTTCCTGCAGACCTTGCTTTCCTGGCTGCTTTCCTAGGGCAAGTCACTCCCTGAAAGAGGCTTTCCCTGAACACTCTAACTAAAGAGGCAGCTTCTATCCATAGATCCTCTCTTTCCCATTTCCCTCTTTTATTTTTTCTTAGCATTGTTAACTATTGGAATTTTCCTTGTTTATTTGTTTGCTTATTTATTTGTCTTCCTTCATTAGCATATAATTGCTATAAGAGAAGAAGAGGCTTTTTCTATTTTGTTCACTGCTAAATTCCCAGTGCCTAGAACAGTGCTTGGCCCTAGTAGATACGTATTGAATATTAAATATTCTTAAGTGAATGAATGAATGAATTGAATTGAATTGAATAGACTCACTATCAATATTTATGTACTCATACTTTTTTAGTTTGTCATTTTGAATAAACTATAGTTTTTAATGAGTTAAATTGTAATTTTTTTTTCTCAACTAGCCATGTACACCTTCATGTGATCAGCCAGGATTTTGATTCTCCTTGCCTTAAAAACAAAAAACATTGGAATTCTTTCAATACAGAATACTTCCTAGAATCACAAGGTAAACAGTGTTCTTTGGTTTTTACATTTGTTTCATTTTCTCAGGTGTTCTTATACTTGATTCAGTTGTTTCCTGAAATAGCAGCCTGGCCTCAAGAACCCATGGACAAGGTTGTATTCCCTGTAGAGAGAGCCCTATAAAAATAAACTGGATAATTTGGATTGTAGTACAATTACCACTTTGCTGGGAGCAGCCTTCTTAGGGGACCTAGAAAGCTATTATGTTGGAGTTAAAAAGTGTTTTATTGTGACAACAGGGGACTTAATGTGAGAATTACTGGAGTTAATAGATGAGAAACCTCTGAACAGTTCTTTATCTCTTCTGCCATCACTTGGGCAGGAGCTTCGGGGCTGCCTTGTGTCAGGAGTGGTTAATTAACAAGGAAGGCTGTGTATATTGTAGACGGAAACATTTACTGGTCTGTATACTTTTGGAACATCAGTATTGCTGGGATGTCAATGATGACAGTTACCGTTTACTAAGGGGTAAAGCACTGTGATAAGCTCTTGACACAGTAACATGGATTGCCTAGAATGTGTCCTGAAGGAATGTATTATGCCAAAGGTGTTATACATTGCTCAGATTTAGAATCTGATCAAGCTCATTTTCTCAGCAGGAAGTCTCACCTCAAGCTTACTAGCTTTAGAATACCTGGCATATGCATTGGAGTCATGTTTTCTTTTTCTTTTTTTGTATCTTGTATTGGTTTTCCACAGTAGCAGAGATTTGAACTTTTCTTCTTTGCCTACAGCTGTGATAGAGATGGTACAAAAGGCTGGTAGAGTGACTGTCCGAGATGGGATGCCTGACCTCTTGAAGCTGCCCCTTCGTTGTCACGAGTGCCAGCAGTTGCTGCCTTCCATTCCTCAGCTGAAAGAGCATCTCAGGAAGCACTGGACAAAGTGATTCTGCAGAGCCTGAACTTCTGCCTCAAGTGTGGCCGATGGTTTGGAGCAAACTACTGGCACCTGTTGTGGGTTGCTTGTGAACTTTTACTCACTTCCTGAATTAAAACTTGCAGCTTTTTTACAAAGCTTATTCTGTTCTTGAGTGGCCACAGTGTAGGATGACTTGAAATAGTTCAGGAATTATCGACCTGTGTTTGTCATGGATGCATTCTCTGGTGAGGGTGGCTGGGACATGCCAGATTCCCCATCTCCAGGACCCGTGTCAGGTCTGACAAATGGGAGCAAAGCCATGGTCACTGTTGTCTAGTGCAGAATATAGAAGCAGAGAGCTGGTTATATGTTTCTGTTCCTTATATTTATCCTCCCTCCCTGGAGGCCTGGGGCACCCTTTCATCAGAGTAGCTAGAGTGGTCTCTTATTTATCCTGAAGGCACTAATGGGTCTTGTTTTCTGATCTTAGTCTGTTTTGTAATGTTCATCTTCCCTCCTTCATGGGGAGGCTTACTTTCTCCCATCCTTCCATTCCTTTGTATCCAAGATCACCCACATACTCCCTTCTCAGGAAGTCTATCTCATTTGTTTTTTTGCTGTTGGCAAAGAGGCTGGATTAGGGGGTTAATTATGGGTAGAGTTTTATTCTAATCTCAGGGGTTCCTGGCTGGTGAAGAAACACTTGGCCATATGTTCATCATGGTTCAGCTGTAAGTCTTCTTCCTGGTCTGCTTGGACCTGTTGTATGAAAATAAAGTTTATTTGTTTGAGGCATCTCTCCTAAGTAGTTGAAGACTGTTGGAAGTTCAGCTGACAATCACAGAGTAAGTTCTAATGCATGAAAAGATAATTGGTGAATGAAAAAAGTTACATAAAATCAACTTTATTTTTCCCTGACAACAAATATGGATGGAAAAGTTGTATCAAGTTGGCTTTTAGGTAATACCAGAACTAAAGATAAAGGGAAAACTAAAAAGTTGTTTTTGATCAAATTGTGGGGATGTGACTTTTACTCTTGAGTTGTAAGGGAAAAAAAAAGAACACCCTTAATAAAAGCTTCTCTCTGTGGAGAGAAAACCTCAGTTCATTGAGACCACATTTGACCTCAGTGTCTTTCACAAGCAAACAAGATGCCACAGTGGTTGCTTGGTGAGCGTGGGTATAGTAATAATTAGTTGTAATTAATGATTATAGCAGCTAACATTTGTCCAACTCCTATGTGTTCTGCATTATGTTAAGCATTTTATTCAAATTCTCATTTAATTCCCCCTGTACATAACTCTATGAAGTAGGTACTATTGTTATCCCCTTTAATGGGTGAGGATCTAATATTCTATAAAGGGTTCTGGGCTCCAAAGTTGGTCTTGGTTTTCATACATCAAACTCATTATTTTTCCTATCAGTTGAAGAGTATAAATGCAGGGGCCATAGAACCCAGGGGCCTTGGACCTGTGTAAATTAAATGCTTTCCATGGCATTTCATTGATTCCTTGAAAGCTGCTTTTGTCCATCTGTCTCTGCCTAACATCTTTCATTTCTGTCCTCTGTCCCTTTGGTACTCCAGGAATGTAATTCTTATCTCATTAGCCCATGTACCCATAGTTCTTTCCAGGGGTGAACCTGTGTCCTCAAGGCCACATGTGACCCTCCAGATCCCCAAGTGCAGCTCCTTGACTGAATCCACTCTGTCTCCTGCAGTGGTTGTCTACATATCCTGTGGCTTGTGGGGGTTCTTCCCTGACCCAGCTGCAGATGGGAGGGGCTTCAAAGCCTTCCCTTTGCTGTCATCAGGTACTAGGCCCTGAAACTCTTGAAAATCATGGGCATGGATTCAGACTTGGGTCCTAGTCCTGGCTCTAAGGGCTACTCAGAGCTGAGGGATCTTGGGTAAGTTACTTATTTTCTCCAAGCTTTAGTATTCACGTATGTAAATGGGCATAACAGGGTTGGTTTATAAAGATTACATAAAATAATAAATAATAAATAAATAATAAATAATAATAATAATAATAAAATAATCTATATAAAGGATTTAGCATAGTATCTGGTACAGAGAAGGACTCAATACGTGGTAACTGGAAGCCTCTGCTTTTATCTTGGTGGGAGTTGGGGAGGAGGGTTTACCTGATCTACGCCTTTCTTTGCATTTGAAGCCTTGGGGCCCTAGGAACTTTCTGAAGATGTACACCATGGATTTCTTACATCAGGATTATTGGTTTCCCTTTAAAAAGTGTAAGTACCTGGGAGCTATCCCAGAACTGCTAAATCACAATCCTGAGGGCCTAGGCATCTGCATTTTAAAACATTCAAGGCGATCTTTTTTTAATTTAGAATTGAGAACCACAATCTAATGAAAACCTTTTTTTTAGAATTTTTTAAATTTTTTTTTTTTTTTGAGACAGAGTCTCACTTTGTTGCCCAGGCTAGAGTGAGTGCCGTGGCGTCAGCCTAACTCACAGCAACCTCAATCTCCTGGGCCCAAAGCCATCCTACTGCCTCAGCCTCCCGAGTAGCTGGGACTACAGGCATGCGCCACCATGCCTGGCTAATTTTTTGTATGTATATTTTTTTAGTTGGTCAATTAATTTCTTTCTATTTTTAGTAGAGATGGGGTCTTGCTCAGGCTGGTTTTGAACTCCTGACCTCGAGCAATCCGCCCGCCTCAGCCTCCCAGAGTGCTAGGATTACAGGTGTGAGCCACCACGCCCAGCCAATCTAATGAAAACTTTGACTTCAAAGCATCTTGCATTTATGAAGCTTCCAGATTTGGCTGTGCCCTGCCAGAACACATACCATTTTTCTGACTGGCTGGCTGGGCCACTTGTAGGCCTTCCCTCTGCAGAGTTAAAGTTATTTTAGAATCCAGGGAGACCTTGGGCATTAGGTGAGGGAGAGTCCCTGGCTGTAGGACTCAGCACTTCCTTTCTGTAGGGGTTTGGAGCCTCAGAGCCTCTCTAGCCACAGGCTCTTAGGGGCCAGGCCTGGAGTTGATGACTGTTCCCCTCTATGGCTCCTGTTTCATCTTCATGTCCAGAGGTCAATCCAGTGGCCTGGTCTGAGACCTGTAATGAATGCTGCCAGCTTTAGGCTCAGAGCATATGCATTTTCCTCTTCTGGGTCTTTCTCTGAGATATACAGGTACTGAAGGTTCCTGTAGGGACCAGGTCATACTTGAAATAGTCATTAAGGATCTCTGCAGTATCAGGGACATTTCCTAGAGCCTTGCATCTGGCATTCAGTCAGACTGGATATGGCTGGAAATCAGAAGTTCAGGACTCATCTGTCAGAGTTGGCCTAGCCTTAACTGCTTCCCTCTGTTCCTAACAACTCCAACTTGGAGACTTTTACAGAGCTCTGAAGATTCTACATAGATTAAATTTTAAAAATATGTGATGAAGGCCATGAAGCCTGCTCTGCTGAATGCTACATATTATATAGACACACTTTGTATAATGTTATCAGGGAATTTATGGAGCCACTGAAGTGCTTCCATAGACTCTAAGAGTCTTCAGATCCCAATTAAGAATCTCTACTGTAGAGAAAAGAGTCATCACCATGCCTCTGGGATGTTCAGGAGGGGTTTGGGGTCACTGTGGAGCCTAGGGGCAGACCTCACCTTCAGGATATTTCTGAGTTGCTCCTTGATCTCAGTGCTCCTCCCTCAACCCTCTGGTGTGTGAGAATTCTAGGGGCCTCTGGTTGGAGACAGAGCTCAAGTCCAGGGTCTGCTGGCTCCAGTGTAGCCACCACACTCGGTCAAGAGTCTTGGGACATGGGGAAATCCTCAGTGGGTCCTCAGGAACCCTGGATGACAGACTCCTCATAGCCATCTAAAAGGCAATCAATCTACTTTATTAGGGTAGTTGTTTTAGGGAAAACAATACCAATCATCTACACAAACAGATCAGCGCATTGTGACTATCCCAGGACAATGGGAGTGGCAATGGTTCTTAGGGTATAATAAGTGAAGAGTACAAATTGTACTGAAGACACAGCTTGTTGTAACCTGTACTGTTAAACTGAGGTAGGGATTTTACTGAGGTCCTAGCCAATGTTCTTGCAATTACAGAACATTTAACCAAACCAGATAAAGTTCCCTTGGTGAACTTTTAACTTATTTTTTCTTGGTGTTAATAACATACCAAACTTTTAAGAAAATAGATACTGCAAAAGCAATCAATTTAATTTTAAAAAAAAATAACATTATATAGTTTAGCATATCAATATTAAAATCAAAATGAGAATATTTGATTAGAAATTGCGACGAAGGAGAGACCGTCAGTGTAATATGTGAGATGTAATGAAGGAAAATTTGAAAGAGTGAGGTGACCGCCTCTAAATCTTTGTTCAGTCAGGCTACTCAGTGACCTTGAAAAATATTATAGATCTTTCAGAAGAAAGAAAAATGTGAATAATGACTTGGATTGGCCAGAAAAAGGACGTGAGATATTGAGGCATATAGGTCCCATGACCCCCCTTCTCCAGGTGAGTTATTGATGTTATGAAAGCAATTACCTTTCTGAACCTATTTAACCCAGATTTATCATTATAGTACATACAATTGGGTAGAGTTTTCTAAAGGTGTAGGGAGTACTGGCGTGAAAAAATAGACCAAAAAGCACATAAATCACATTTGTCATGCCAAATCATAATAGTTCCTCCATGAGAGACTAACCTGTATTTTGGCCCCATCACAGCTAGGCAAGGCAGCAGTAAAGTAAAGCAGTTGAATGTGGATGGATACTTCAATCTAGCCAAGAAGGCAAATGTATAATCCAGCTCCTCTGTTGCTGTGAAAGAAGGTAGATATGACAGTCAGAGTTGAACTGGGAACCTGAAACTGAGAAAGTTTCTGATATGAGAGCATGAGGAATAATCTTGAACAGAAAGTTTATAAAAGACCTAAGTCAGAGCTAGAAAAAAGGGCTCTCAAAATCTATTATGCTCTCTAAAATAGAGTTATTTCATACCTGTATCTTAATCTGTCAAACATTTTTTAGGAAACAAACTACCACCAGGGAATGGGTTTTGGGCTTTAGAGCCTTCTAATGATTAGGATCCTGTTGCATCTGACTTAGAAGGAGCAGGTAGGTGAGTATTATGTAGGCAATTGTAAATAACTCATTAAGTTAGTGACATACCCAAATGCATGAGAGTTCAACCTCAAGGAGAGGAATAGCCTGGGTGTTGGGGTGTGAGAAAGGAGTTTAGACCTCCAGACTTCTAGGCCACTTCTCAATTCCTTTGGTCTGTTCCATTTTGCAGATTTGTTTTGACACCATTTATTTTAACTTCCTCAAGTTTTAGAAGGCAACTGGGACTTGGAATTTGTTTTTTTTTTTTGAGACAGAGTCTCACTTTGTTGCCCAGGCTAGAGTGAGTGCCGTGGCGTCAGTCTAGCTCACAGCAACCTCAAACTCCTGGGCTCAAGCAATCCTGCGTGAGCCTCCCAAGTAGCTGGGACTACAGGCATCCGCGGCACGTGCCAGCTAATTTTCTACTACTCTACTTCCCGCTCTGGCCCTTACTCTTTTTCCTACCTCTTATCCTACGCACGATCGGGGTCTCCTCTCGCTCTCTCGCCTCCAGGCCTCGCGCTCTTTGAATTGCCTCTGAGCATCTGCCCGCCTCGGCTTCCCAGAGAGCTAGGATTACAGGTGTGAACCATCACGCTGGGCCTGCAATTTAAACCAGACCTTGACTTTGAAACCAGACCAAGTGCTTTTGATTCTTTCTAGATGCTCTCAAGGTAATGATTGTGTTTTCTTTCCTTTTTTCTTACTTTTATTTTTTTCCTAACCACTAGATTCCCAGGAACTAATGTCTTATTTAAGAATAAGAATTGGCTTACTGCTAAGTCCTGTTCACTTCCATGGTCTGCCTCGGAATATTTTCTTCATCTAAAGGTAGA